CTCAATTAGAAATTATAAAGGGGAAATAACAACTGATGCCACAGAGATACAAGAGAGCATCTCTGAACACTACCAGAAACTCTGTGCTATGAAATTTGACAATGTGAAGGAAATGGATCAATATTTGGAATCACACCCTCTCCCTAGACTTAGCCAGGCAGACATAGAGCTCATGAACAGGCCAATTTCAAGCACTGAGATTAAAGAAATAATAAAAAATCTTCCAACCAAAAAATGCCCTGGTCCGGATGGCGTCACACCAGAATTCTATCAAACCTTCAAGGAAGAGCTTATTCCCATACTGCAGAAATTATTCCAAAAAATTGAGGAGGAAAGAATCTTCCCCAACATGTTCTACAAAGCAAATATCATCCTGATACCAAAACCAGGATAAGACCCAACTAAAAAGGAGAATTTCAGACCAATTTCACTAATAAACATACATGCAAAAATTCTCAACAAAATCAATTACAGTTTATCATCAAAAAAGTCATACATCATGATCAAGTAGATTTCATTCCAGGAATACAAGGCCGGTTTAACATATGCAAGTCCATAAATGTTATCCACCATATTAACAGAAGCAAAAACAAAGACCATATAATCCTCTCATGCAGAAGTGCAGAAATGCAGAAAAAGTATTCAATAAAACCCAGCATCCTTTTCTAATTAGAACACTGAAGAAGACAGGCATACATGGCACATTTCTGAAACTGATTGAAGCTATCTATGACAAACCCACAGCTAATATATATATGTGTGTGTGTGTGTGTATATATATATTTTTTTTTTAATTTTTTTTTTTTGTAATTTTTTTGGCCAGGTCTGGGTTTGAACCCACCACCTCTGGCATATGGGGCCAGTGCCCTACTCCTTTGAACCACACAGGCGCCACCCACCACAGCTAATATATTACTGAATGAAGTAAAATTGAAAGCTTTTCCTCTTAGAACTGGAACCAGACAAGGTTGTCCTCTGTCACCATTACTATTCAACATAGTGCTAGAAGTTCTAGCCAATACAATTAGGCAGGACAAGGAAATAAAGGGCATCCAAATGGGAGCAGAGGAGGTCAAAATCTTCCTCTTTGCTGACGATATGATCTTCTACTTAGAGAACCCCAAAAACTCAACCACAAGACTCCTGGAAGTATTCAAAAAATACAGTAATGTCTTAGGATATAAAATTAATGTCCACAAGTCAGTAGCCTTTGTATACGGCAATAACAGTCAAGATGAGAGGTTAATTAAGAACACAACTCCCTTAGCCATAGCTTCAAAGAAAATGAAATACCTAGGAATATACCTAACAAAAGAGGTGAATGACCTCTATAAAGAAAATTATGAGGCTCAGTGCCTATAGCTCAACCGGCTAAGGCGCCAGCCACGTACACCTAAGGTGGCGGGTTCGAATCCCCAGCCCGGACCCGCCAGACAACGATGACGGCTGCAACCAAAAAAAAAATAGCCCGGCGTTGTGGCGGGCGCCTGTGGTCTCAGCTACTTGGGAGGCAGAGGCAGGAGACTCGCTTGAGCCCAGGAGTTGGAGGTTGCTGTGAGCTGTAATGCCACGGCGCTCTGCCCAGGGGGGACAGCTTGAGGCTCTGTCTCAAAAAAAAAAAAAAATTATGAAACTCTAAGAAAAGAAAGAGCAGAAGACATTAACAATGGAAGAACATACCATGCTCATGGCTGAGAAGAATCAACATTGTTAAAACATCTGTACTTCCCAAAGCAATCTACTGATTCAATGCCATCCCTATTAAAATACCAACATCATACTTTCAAGACTTGGAAAAAATGATTCTGTATTTTGTATGGAACCAGAAAAAAACCCATATAGCTAAGGCAGTTCTTTGTAATAAAAACAAAGCCAGAGGCATCAGCATAACAGATTTTAGGCTGTACTACAAAGCCATAGTGGTCAAGACAGTATGGTACTGGCACAAAAATAGAGACATAGACATTTGGAATCGAATAGAAAATCAGGAAATGAAACTAACATCTTACAACCGCCTAATCTTTGATAAACCAAACAAGAACATACCTTGGGGGAAAGAATCCCTATTCAATAAATGGTGCTGGGAGAACTAGATAGCCACATGTAAAAGACTAAAACTGGACCCACACCTTTCTCCACTCACAAAAATTGATTCGAGATGGATAAAGGACTTAAATTTAAGGCATGAAACAATAAAAATCCTCAAAGAAAGCATAGGAAATACACTGGAAGATACCGGCCTAGGGAAAAGACTTCATGAAGAACATTGCCATGGCAATTGCAACAACAACAAAAATAAACAAAGGGGACTTAATTAAACTGGAAAGCTTCTGTACTGATAAAGTGACAACAACCAAAGCAAATAGACAACCTACACAATGGGAAAGGATATTTGCATATTTTGAATCAGACAAAAGCTGGATAAGTAGGATCTATAGAGAACTCAAATTAATTCACATGAAAAAAGCCAACAATCCCATATATCAATGGGCAAGAGATATGAGTAGAACCTTCTCTAAAGAAGACAGATGAATGGCTAACAAACATATTAAAAAATGTTCATCATCCCTAATTATTAGAGAAATGCAAATCAAAACTACCCTGAGATACAATCTAACTCCAGTGAGAATGGCCCACATCATAAAATCTCAAAACTGCAGATGCTGGCGTCAATGTGGATAGAAGGGAACATTTTTACACTGCAAACTAATACACACTTTTTGGAAGTATGGAGAACCCTCGAAGAACTCAAGCTAGACCTCCCATTTGGTCCTCCAATCCCATTACTGGGCATCTACCCAGAGGAAAAAAATTCTTTTATCATAAGGACACTTGCACTAGACTGTTTATTGCAGCTCAATTTACAATCGCCAAAATGTGGAAACAGCCTAAAGGCCCACCAACCTAAGAATGGATTAACAAACTGTGGTATATGTACACCATGGAATACTATTCAGCCATTGTTAAAAAATGGATACTTTACAGCCTTTGTATTAACCTGGATGGAAGTGGAACACATTATCCTTAGTAAAGCATCACAAGAGTGGAGAAGCATACAAAGGGTACATGTGAAATTTACTAGGTGCAGAATATAAATGTCTAAACACAGTAACTAAGAAAATGCCGTGAAGGCTATGTTAATCAGTTTGATGAAAATATTTCAAATTGTATATAAAACCAGCACATTGTACCCCATGATTATATTAATATACATGGCTATGATTTAATAATTAAAAAAAAAGAATGAAGAAGCATGAATCCTATATACTCAACTTTGATATGAGGACAATTAATGACAATGACATGGTGGAGATGGAGGAAGGAGAGAACAGAGAGAGAGAAAGAAGAAGGGAGGGGTGGGAGAAAGGAAGAGCAGAGAGAGAGAAGGACTGAAGGGTTGGGTCTTGGTGTGTGTCACACCTTTGGGGGGCAAGACATGATTGTAAGAGGGACTTTACCTAACAAATGCAATCAGTGTAACCTGGTTTCTTGTACCGTCAATGAATCCCCAACAACAAAAAATAAAAAATAAAAGAAATGACAGCTAATGCTACTGGCCACCTCATAATTAACAGGCAGAAGTTAGCCCTTGAATCAAGGGGTACAAAAATGGTTAGCCCCTCTATAGTGTCAGGCCTAAACAATAGATGTACCTGCCCTTGCAGTGGAGGCAATCTTTGTATCCATGCCTTGAACTACATGGAAACATCAAGCCTACTCATATCTTTGGGATAGAAAAGGAGCTGAATATAAAATTGAAACTAGCTATTTATTCCCCAGATCTCTGGGCATCAAAATCTTCTGTGTTCATTTATTCACTTATTCACTCAATTATTCAACAAATATTTATTGAGCAGTAAAAATCTTTCAGGCACAATGCTAGTCACTGGGGGATACAAAAAATAAAAAATAAAACCTTATGTCCCTGTCCTCAAGGGGCTGTAGTAGAGGAGATAGATTTGGAACTAACTGCTTAGGATACAATTCTACAGGCCTACCATAATTATAATTCTGGAATTATGACTTAGAAAAAGATTCACACAAGTCACAGGGGCAGGTATACTGCCATTCACTATAGCAAAACATGAGAGCCCATCTAAATGTCTACCAAAATAAGACAAAAGCTCTCACAACAGGTCATTACATACTGACAAAAGAGTCAATTCCACAAGAAGATATAATAATTACAAATATATATGTGCCCAACATCAGAGCACCTAGATATATAGAGCAAACATTTAACAGATTTGAAAGGAGAAAGAGACAGCAATATAAGTGCTGTCTCCTAGACAGCAGTCTCCTAACTCTCCTCCAACACTTCACTTTCAGTAATGACCATATCATGCAGACAGAAAATTTAAAAGAAAACAACACTGTAGGGCAAATGGACCTTACAGACATGCAGAACATTTCAACCAACGACAGCAGTGTATACTGTCTTTTTTTTTTTT